GGACCTGTAAAAATAACACCAAAAATCAAAATTATAATTTCTTTTATTTACCCTCATCTCGACATGAAAAAAAAAATAGAAACATGCAAAAGAAAATAAAGGAAGTCCAATTTTCTTGCTAGGTTTATTTTCTGTGTCGTTCTAATTTTATTAGAAAATTTCCAAAAAGGCAAGAGTGAATGTAGTTATTAAGTACTGACGAGCTCATTCAAACTCAGTATGTAATTTTGATTTAAATCTTATACACAGATATATTAAAAGATCCACTGACGAACCTTATACACATACACTATTAAAAACACGCAAATTGCCAAACAATTTTTCTCCAAGGACGAAAATTTCCATCAGAAATTCGCGTGTTTTTAGTACTAGTATACTTCCAAACTCAATTTTATAATATTCAAATCCTAAATTCACGCCTCGAGGATGGGAAAATGGAATACATAATTAAAATTAAAATACCTTGAATATCAAAGAATGTGGAATTGGTGGCAGCAACAAGAACAGGGACCCATTTTTGATAATATGTAAAAGTTGGCATAATAATCCACATCATTAAATTCCCAAGAAATATTGTAAGTGCTAAAGCTAATATTGCTCCTTGTATCATTCTAATTTTTCCATCAGAAAATGATGATGATCTCCTATTCATCACCTCCATTTTTCTTGTAACAAAATTAGCTTTTGTTGAATATAAATTGGAAATATATAGTAGTAGTGAACTTGTTATATACATCAAATAAGTGTTCACAAGTTGTATGCTATAAATAAGCAAAATTTGTATAGGATGCTGACTTGACAAGATTATTCCACCTCTCAATGGTCTAGTGATCTTGTCTTCCTAGGGCCCCATTGTAAATATATTTTTCATTTTTTCATTTTTTTTTCACCTAACTTTTAATTATTTTTCTTCACCTCTAAACTCTTCTTCAAGTTTTTGTTGAAACTTTTCCTCTAAACTAAGTTCTTCACTAATTGTTTGAGTTGTATACTCCCTCCGTTCTATTTTATATGCCACATTTTAGATTTCAAGAGTCAAATAAATCTATCTGTGATCGTAAAATTTTTATAGATTTTTAAAAATATTTTGTATTATCGATTATTGTGACTCGTAGTACTTTTTACGTAGTTTACAAATCTATAAATTTCATTTCAAAAAAATTAAAAATTTCATGCGCAAATTTTCGATAAAACTTAAATTGGTTGATTCTCAAGATATAAAATGTGTCATTTAAATTGATGCATGAGTATTTAGCTTGAGTTTAAGTAATATAAATCGACAGTGTTATCAAATCACTTAAAATGTTTTTACTAGTAAAATAGCTATGGTGAATGTATACATGGCATATATATCATTTTAATTAGTTTGATTTTGTATCCAACTCCCTAACCAAATGCAATTTATTTTAATTACTACTACTTCTGTAAATATATATATGTTCTTTTGGCAATTAGTAATTAAAGATTATTGTTTTGTTGGGTTTCTTAATGACAAATTGGTGAAAATATTAAAATACATTTAAAAGTAAGCTATATATTTTCTTTTAGATCTTTTGGCTTTAGATTTGTACCAGGAATCTTGTGGTTGTTGCCTTAGATTTTTTTCTCTCTTTTGGTTATTTTTTAATTTTGTGATATTGTTGTAGCTTGGCTATGGGAGAGTAGGTATAACAGTATCATTGAAATATGTAAAAATAAAAAATATTTTATATATATATATATATATATATATATATATATAATTAAAAAAGTGAACTTGTGGCCTTATCCTGCTTTAAGAAAAAAAGAACAGAATACAAAAAGAAGTGCATGTAAAGTAAATTAGTGGTAGGTTTTGTATATATTTTATTTATACGGAATAATAATATAAATCTCACTTTTAGTTTATATATTATCATTATTCCTAATAAGTTTTATGAATTTTTAAAACTGTTCATTATTCTCATAGGTAATAGATGTCATTAATGTATCCGATTCTCCATTAAATGTATCAGAGCATGTATCTGACCCTCTTCCTAATGTATCAATGTTTTGATTTTTTGGCCATTAATGTATTCGACTCTTTTTTAATGTATTATCGCATGTATCGATCTTCATTTTAATGTATCCGCGCTTGATTTTTCGGCCATGTATGTATTCGGCCCTCTTTTTAGTTTATCAACGCTTATATTGTTGTATCTATTTAAGGAATTTCTGTAATTATAAACTTTTAAAGGATAGATTGTAACTTTGTCTTAAAAATATTTATTTATTTCTGACTTTATATTATGTAGAATTACGATGGGTATATCATTGCTCAAGTAAGGTTAATAACTTTTATAAAGTATAGTATATACCTAAAATAAATATGACTGAAATAGATTATCAACTAATTAGTGTTATCTTTAAAAAAAATCAATTATTTTGCTAAATTTATATGAGACAATAAATGTCATTGAAATAGATTATCAACTAATTAGTGTTATCTTTTAAAAAAAAATCAATTATTTTGCTAAATTTATATGAAACAATAAATGTCATTCAAGACAATTTTCTTTTATGTGAGTTTTAAGTTTATTACTTTATTCTATTTCCTTTTAGTACATCTTCACTTACGATAATATTTTCACATCTATGGACCATTCTATCAAAAGGTCGATGCAAATTATGACTAAACATCTCAATCGAAATATTCTCTTTTGATAAAGTGTATAATATTCTAATTTTTCGATAATTGTATATCTAAATACACTACTTATATATGAACATTTGTTCATGTTTATACTTCAAAATTAGGCAATTCTAATTATAATAGTATCAATCTCCTTGGTGATACAAGATTCATTATTAATCAATCCTTAATTTCGTTAAGTCTTTTTATCGTCGTAAAAAAATCTAAAATTAATAAGTCATATTTTGTCTTTTGTTCTTCAAAATGTAGCGATATCAAATCATAATATTAAACTCGACTACTAAATAACCTACCTATCAACATTACATAATAGTATTGAACATGTACACATATTAATGAAAATCAAAACTCCCCAAAACTACATGAATTCTATCTTTTAAATATAACTCAAGGTCTTACTTAAATGAATATATGGTTGGTAATTAATAATTGATTCCTCATCAAGCATTTTCAGTTTCATAATTGTACTAATTGACCCTTTTTCAGTTGGAAATGTCTAGAGGCCTCTAATTATGTTGACAAGTCATTTGCCACCAAAAAAATAAGGATTTCTAATCACTTGTCCTACCATTGAAGACAATATGATGATTAATAATTTTCTTTAAAGTAAAAAATAATTGAAGCAAATGATTTGTACATCTTGTTATTTTTGTACTCCACATAACTAGGGGAAGTTGAATATCATTATGGTCAAAAAGGAAATTTTATTATTTCTTCACAAAAAATAAAATTAGATTGTACTTCACAAACTAATTCATTTTCTTTGTTTTTGACTCTTTACCTAATTATAATTTCTTTTTACCATCTCATCTACATCAATCTTCCTTTGTTCATTTTCAACCTATATTCATTTGACAACTTTCAAAAACTCAAACCAACCAACCTACACACATCTATTTTTATTTTTTATATATATATTTTTCAACCAACTAACTATGTTAATTCATTTCATCACATATGATACATCATTGATACATAAGTATACATTATATATAACGATCATATACTATTCATACAATATAAATACATTACATATACATGCAGTCATTTATATGAATTATTTTTTTGCGCGGTATATTTATGTAATAAACTCTTACTTCTTTGTATACATTAAAATTTCGAAATTTTAGACTTAAATGGCTTAATAATAAGCCTCATCCCCTTTGATTCTTTCCCCTCAGTTGTATTTTCTTGGACTAATTGGGTTGGGCTATTGTGGGCAAATCAACCAGATGGGCTGTTAAAATCCTCGGCCCAATTTTTATTAGTCAGTACAGAAGGACTGAATATAGAGAAAAAATCACTAAATTACTAGCTAATTAATTTTAGGATGAACTATCTAATACACAAATATTTAAATCATATTTATTAAAATCTTTTACAGTTTGAAATAATTATATTTTATATCATAAATTAATAATTTCATACCAGATTTCAAGTCAGATACATCTAGATAAATATTCTTTTTGCTACCAGATACACTAAAATAGAGAGAGGCGAGCGAGAACAGGAGGGAGGGAGGTGATACTTATTAATGTATTTCCGATTCATGTGAATAATACTGCATATATGACTCTGGGTGATTCACATGTATGTTAAATACCAGATACGTAAGCGAGATATGAGGAAGGTGAGCGAGATTTATCTATGTATCACACACACACACACATACATACATACATACATACATACATATATATATATATATATATATATATATATATATATATATATATATATGCGCGTATGCAAATCCACTTGGATATAATATATCTAGAATAAATTACACCCAGTCTTACCAATATAGGAAAAAAGTTCATTTTTTGTATAATTAATTGTAGACCTAATTTATATAGAAAGACTGCCAATTAAATATGTATACATTTAAGATGACATGACTATGACTTTAAATATATGCAAACAGCCTTGTAAACCTAAATCGGTACGACTACTTTTTGCATTGTATAGAGTTCTTAGCCTATTTTTCGTATTTTTATGTCATTAAAATATAGACGAGGTTAAAGATCACAAAATTAAAGAATATTTGATATATATTAACACCAACCAATATGTACTATAACATTTGGACACCAAAGATCATAGCTCATACATCCAACTCCACTTACTTTGGAGCCCAAGGAATATATATTACTACTCGTTTCAATTTCCGCGTCTGTTTTCATGATTTAATATTAAAATATTAAAAAATAAATTTTTAAATTTAAATATCTTATTGTCTTAAATTATGAGCACATTTCCTTTTATATTTGTGCTGTCTTGGAATGTTTATACCTTCATTTAGGCAGAAATCTAATGATAAAAACATCAAAAGGTCTATATTATCATATATGGCTTGGCCATATTGTAATGACTCTTTTTTCTGCTCACGGCATTTGTTACATTATCTATTGGGCTTCCACTCATCAATTGTCTGAGGTAATATACGATAGTCTGTAAAGTTGTTGTCATTGTAATTATCATACTGGTATTAGTAATTAATGATTGTTGATTGAAATGAAACAGATGCTGAAATGGGGAAAAACTGATATATCAAATTTGGCTGGTGAATTGGCATTGCTTTCTGGATTGGTGTTGTGGATAGCAACATTTCCTAAAATTAGGAGAAAGATGTTTGAACTCTTCTTCTACACTCATCATTTCTACATTCTCTTTGTCGTCTTCTTCGTCTTCCATGTTGGTGTTTCTTACGCTTGCATCATGCTTCCTGGTTTCTTCCTCTTCATGGTTGATCGATTCTTGAGATTCTTACAGTCACGATCAAATGTTCGTTTAGTCTCTGCTCGTGTTCTGCCATGTGAAACTCTTGAACTCAATTTCTCCAAGACTAAAGGTAAATTGATGAAAATTTCATAAATATTCAATTTTGTGACAAACAAGTTACTCGTCATATCAAGCCTGATATATAACATGGAAAATACGATATAACCTACTATAGCCAGTTAAGTTGTAAATACGATACATTACATCACAAATATGCAATATTAAAATGTCTTATTCAAATTACTCAACTTTTTGCAGGACGGTTGTTTGAGAGGAAAGAATAAGTGTTGGAGTTTTAGTTTGTGGCCCAAAAAAGATGAGACATGAAGTTGCTGGCATATATTCATCTGGTTCAGTATCCAACCTTCATTTTGAGTCTATTAGTTTCAATTGGTGATTTTTTTTTTTTTCATCATAATTTGAAGAGAATACTATGTATTGTAATGCAATGGAAAAATAAGCTAAGATACTTTTTTTTTTGTTTGCTCGTGTGATTAATGGTTATGTTATTGAATTTCTTTGTTGGTTTTGTTTCTTTATTGATTTTGTTTTGACTTGCGATGAAGTGTCAAAAAATAAAGAAATTTTTTAATCTTATAATTTTAAATTAAAATATGTGAAATTTATTAAATATCTTTTAATTTTGTGATTTTATACATGTCCTTTGAAAAGTTATAAAGAATTTAGAAATTATTTTAAAAGGAAAAATACATTTTTTTAAAAACTAAATGAGTCAACAAATTAAAAAGGATGAAATATAAAATAATGTAAAAGGTTATAAAAACAGAAAAAAGGTTTTAATAAATCTCGCTTACTTTGATTTAAAAATGTATTTGCCTTTTATAGTTTGGTCAAAAAAATGTAGGTGCCGCTCAAGGATAAGGTTAGTAAACTATTTGTTTTAGGCTTCAAAATTTTGATGCTCCACAAAATTATAATAGTGAAATTTGTGATTTTAATTTCATTTCGAAACAATATCAAATATTTAAAAAAAAGATATAATCTAAATAAAATAAAAAAGGAAAGGGAAACTATCTACCTTTTATCAATAATATTTTAGAACTTTAAATTAAGCAAATTAAATCTTGATATCAATAAATAAAGTTTTTTTTCAATAATATCCAACTTAATATATTACAAACAAATGGCTAACCTTTTATTAATTATAAGTAACTTTTACTTTTATAAATATGATAATATTAATATATGACGTTAAACGATTAATATTTTAAAAATATATACTAAACAAAAGTAATATATAAGAACAAACTAAGACTAACCAAAATTAATAACATTTGTTATACATTTAAAATATTTTTATTATAATTTTATTTTAAATCATTGATTTATTGAGATATTGGAAAAATGTGCCAATCATTATTTAAAGGAGATATGTTTTTGTTGAACTTCTCACTTATCAAAGGCCATGAATGGTTAAATGATTGATTATAAGAGGCTATTGCAATACATATTGCATAATCTTAAACCATTGACTTTCCCTCTATAATTTATATTAATAATTAATATAAAAATGAAATGACAAGAATCTATATCAACTATGACAAATTTTCATATCATGTAATCCTTTTTGTAGTTTCCTTGATTTGATTCCAAGACGAATAAGGATTATGAAATTATTTTTATACTTATTATGTTTCGTTATGTATCCTCTATTAATATATATATAATCAGGATAATTAAATTAATTAGCAGTTACATATATATTCAAAGAAAAATCTTCAATTTTAATCTATCTTTTACAAGAATATTTAAATTTGCATAAAAAAGTACTATAAATCATAATAATTAAGAACTTGAAATATTTATATAAAAACATATAAATCATTCAATTGATTCACAATGAATACATTTGTGTCACATAAAATGAGACAAAATAAGATTACATAAAATTACGACCTCCAAGGTGATTGGGGTCCCAACCGATTGCTTTAGTGATTTTATGATCAAGACGGCATGATTAAAACCCACATTATTTGTTTTTGCATTATTCCAGCAAGTATCGATGAACATGTACTAGATTTCAAACTTAACAAGTTAACCTGATATATTTATGTCTATCTATATTATATACCATATTAAAAGTATGAACTTCTTCAAAAATATTGATTGAACTTTGTCTTCCCTATTAAAGGGAAAATTATATGAAATGACAAACATTCATAACTAATTATATATTAGGGGTATAGTTTAATTTATTTACATTATATAATTATAGTTTATTTTATTTTGCTATAATTAATGGGGCCCACAACCTATTATGTAACCAATTGTATAAAAATCTTATTTTCTAATTTTGTATATAATTATACACAATCTAATTTTCTCTCTCCTATTCACAATTAATTTTCTCTCTCCTTTCCTTATTCTAACGTCTTCTCCTACATTTAATACTCCAATATCAGATTTGAATTTCGAATTTTTGTCCAAAATTTCAGTAATCCCTCCTGAAGTTGAAGTCTCCTCCCTAAGTTGAAGTCAATTTCGTAAGTTATTCTTAATTTTAGTTGTTTACCTTTTTTTCTAACTTATCTAAAAATTGTATATATGTTCTGTTTTTTTTTTCTTCATATATTTTGATGAAATAATCGTTTTTTTGTTCTTGATAGATCTAAAATTCGTCAAACAATGAACGAATCGTCTACATCTTTGAGGATTACCAGAGGTAGTCCTTTGCATGTCAATGTTGTTGACATTTTACCATCCTTTTCAATGGGGCTAACTCAAGAATTTGGGGTTAATGTAGGGTATTTGGGAAAATCAAAACAACTTATACAAGAACAAACCATGGAAGAGCTGAGATCAAAGAAAAAAAATGACCTTATGGCAGTTCAATAAGTTATTAAAAATGCCAAAGCTAGAGGCATTAAAATTGTACAAGGTACAAGAAAGAGGAAATTTGTACTATTTGAATCAGAGGAAAATGATTGTGAAGTCGGATCTGAAGAACTTCATAATCATGAGGTAGTGTCTTAAAACACAAATTTAGATACAATTTTTTTGTTAATTAGTTGTCAATATACAAAAACCATTAAATTAAGTATTGTATATAGTATATTCCATGTGAGTAATTGTATATAGTATATTGCATATTTATGTTATTTTTGGCTTTTGTATATATATACAAAATAGTAATTGGACTTAGTTATACAGATGGAAAAATTGAATATATGATTAGAATTTGTATATTCTATTAGTTATATACAAATTTTTGAAGTTAGTATATATTAAGTTTACATACATATACAAAAATTGATATGTACATGTCTGTTTTAATAGCTGGTAGTAGGGATTGTATATAGATGGGAAAATATCATATGTGATTATAATTTTGTATATTGTAGTAGTTATATATAAATTATCGAATATAATGTATTGAATATGCATATACAATTAATAAAAACATTGAATAAGTGTTAGTATATACTATATACAATTAAAAACCTGAATAACATATATCTCTTGTTATACAAATTTGTAAAATGCATTTTTGTACATGTATATATTTATTCAATAAGATTGTATATGTATATTTATTGCAATCTAATTGGATGTGCATATACAATAAAAGACATTGAATACGTGCTGGTATATACCATATAAAAAAAGGTAAGTTCATATATATAAACAGAAAATAATCTGTGAATGACTTTTTTTTTGATTTTTTTTGTATATATAGGTAGGTATGTATATACAGAAATTAATTTGTACATGACTTATTATAAACAGATTTTTTTTTTTTGAATTTGAACGTATGGCTTGAAAATAGGGACGTTTCCCTAAAATTGTGGCATTATCTTGATTTATTGTTACCATATTTAATGCTTCAGTTACAAACAACTTTTTAAAATAGAATTGTATAAATAATAATAAAAAATTTATATACAAAATTAAAGACACCTTTAATAACTTAACTATACCCATATTATGTAATTAGGTAAACTATACCCATATAATGTTATTTTATCTAATAAGTTTGCCATATATGAATTTTTCCTTTTAAAACTCTATATCAAACAAAATTGTTTTTTCATTATTTATTTTTCCTATCATACAATTTTTCTCAAAATATTATAAATTATTTTAATAGTGTCTACTGAAATACCTTGACCAAATTAACATGAAAAATTTGTAATAATTCCATAAAAGTTGGGTCCAAAAACTACTGTCCTCTTTTACTTTCTTTCTTCAATACTGATTTTGTTTATTTCCCTTTGATAATTATTTTAGGACAAGACTTCCTTTGATTAACGATAGTATAAAGATTAACGGGGTAAACATGCGATTAATTGACGTGAGACACACGTTGCAAAACAATATGCTAAATCAGTGTATATATAGTCTATAGACAGAGTTCATCAGTATTGTTTTGACTCGGTATTTTCGGTTTGGACAAAAATCGAATCAAATCGATAAAATAAAATTAATTTATTTGTGTTTGGTTTAGCTTGATTTTAGATTTTTGAAAATCGATAGTATTTGGTTTGATTATGATTTTATTCAAAAAAAATCGAAGAAAATAACCGAACCAAAATGATAAATTATATACATATATTTTTATTACTATACATACTTAATATATTGTCTTTATAAATAATTTTAAAGATCTTATATATACTTTTATTAAAATTATTGATCTATAATTTACTTATTAAAAGCAAAAATATCTAAGATGAAAACATTTATCTTATTGATTTCATGTATATAAGTGTCTATGACAATTTTTTGTGGGACTGAAAATGTTATTGTCTCTTCTTTTTAGGTCAATATAGTGAATTTTAAAGCTTTATTGATGGTAAATTTAGTGACTGACAGTTCAGTAATTTAAGTCATTCTAACTATTTTAAGTTTTATATGGATTATCATTTTTTTCACATTTTAAATGAATTGTTTCTTTTCTTTTTGTGTATGGCTAATAACCGGACTAAACCAAACTGCAATCGATAACAAACAGACTGATAAATGTATGTTATATTTGGTTTGGTTTGAATTTGACAATTTCAAAATTAATTAAGTTGATTTGATTTTAATTTTAACCAATAACCGATTCAAACCGACCCGTTAACAACCCTACTTACCACCAGACCAAGGAAGGCGTTTCTCATCAAACAATT